CCCTCTTTGCGCATGAGGTAACCTTAGGTCTGTTCTTTATAGCTGAACTGGCTGTACTAGTTCAGAGTTTTACTTTTTCCCTCCACATTGGAAGGAGAAAGTAAACTCTGAACTAGTGCAGCCAGTTCAGCTATAAAAAACAGACCTCTTCTCTCCATAGATCTTGCCCCAGTGCAGCTAAAACGAACAAGCCCAGTAATGGCCGACAATTGTCAACTGGGGGTCGATTCTGTATCTAAAATATAGTGAAAATGCGAAAAGTGAGTAGCTCGCACGATTCAGTAACTTTCATCATAGTGAAAATGTGTGCTATCTCACGGGAGTTTGTTCGGCAAGAAATTTCTTGTCGAATGGTGAGATTCGAGTAAAAAGACTGAGAAACGAGAGAGAAACCATAGCGTCGTGACAATTTCATAGATGTGATTTGTAACTGTTTATAATTGTATCTGTTTATAATTTTAAGGTTAAGTAGTCTTTTTTATTGTAAGTATATTTAAAGTATAAATATCATTTTATTTTATTTTTATTATTATTTTATTTATTTTATTATCATTATTTTGTTTGAATTCTCAAAAGCTCGAAAAATGGCTATGTACATGGCTGCTATTTTATTACTTGATGAAGAGGATGATGCTTTTGAACGTAATAAAATTATGAGAGTGACACGAAGGTTTCTCAGAAATACATTAGATCCTTTCTCGGTCTCTGATAATGAATTTTGTAAGCTGTACAGGTAAATTTTCGTATTTAAAGTCCTTAGTAGTGGTAAAGTATATTACAGTGTGTAATTACATGCTTTTTATATGTTTTAGACTGACAAAGGATGCAACTCGTGTGCTAATAGAAGAATTGGTGCCATTTATGCCTCAGATATCACGAAGAAATGCAATATCTTATGAATTGCAGGTATAATATAATTTGAATTTTCCATTAATGTTGCGCAATTAAATTCTTAATAATTTCTGCAATCTTCTTAATTCAATATGTTATTCATTTAGATATTGGCATCATTAAACTTTTTTGCGGCGGGATCCTATCAGAGAAGAGTTGGTCAAGATTTTTTGACTAGCATGTCGCAAACATCATTAAGTCGTTTTCTTTATGCAACTGTTAATGCACTAAATTATGTGATGGACAATTGGATTTGTTTTCCAAAAACCGCTGACAGAATTTAAAGAATCAAGCAAGGGTAATAATTAATAATTCTATGATGTATGTATAACAGAATGAAGAGAATCGAGTAATATTAATTTCTAGTTAGATCTATATTATAATTTTATGATTTCTTGTATATAATATAACATTCAAAATACATTTTAATTGGTATAGGCTTTTAAGGACAAAAATTACAATAATAACTTTTAGAATAACTACTACAATAATAAATTTTTCTTTCAGATTTTTCACAAACGGTGGTTTTCCAGGGGTAATTGGAGCAATCGATGGAACACATATAGCCATTTTTCCACCCGAAGTTGAGAGGGAATATTTATTTATTAACAGAATTATTGCTAATTCTTCCCATAATTCGTCCTATAAAAAAATATATTACATTATATTCATTCGTAATTTTTATTTGCAATTTTTTATTTTTATAATTTATAGTGTTAGTAAAAATAAAATTTTATTTGATATTAATAATAAAACAACTTACAAAATTACTTACTAATTTTTTTTTATTTTCGCGGTTATACCGCAATCTACCTTTTCCGAAATCAGGATGAGACCGCATAAAATTAACAAGAAGTTGTTTCTGCTTCTCCGGTGTCTCCTTGTCAGTGGTAACCTAATCTAACACGCTCGCTTATCTCATGTAAGGTAGGTCAGTGTAACATAACTTCTATATTGTTCAACATTGTAATCTCAAATTTAATAACTTATTAATTATAATAGCCTCAGTTTTATTAATTTATTATTTTATTTAATACAAATAAGTTTATTTTAATAAAACTTTAAATTGTATATTTATTTAAATGGTTCTCTCATTACTACAACGATGTAACTTGATTCGCGCGCTGTAGGATAAGTTAGTATAGTGGATA